TTTTGTGTGTATGCTCCTCTGTTTCCTTTTGCTACCACTTCAGAGAGTAGAGCCCAAGTATGACTGGAGCCCTCCTTGACACTTCTTCCGGCCAAACAACAAAACTCACCAGTTCCCTGGATCACAACAGGAAGCTGGGGCTTGATAAGTGAGCCCTGATTACGGAAGAGGACAAGAGCCTCCTTATTGTTATTGTGAAGCAGGATTAACACGGAGAACTCTTGGGAGCTTTGCTGTTTTATTATCTTTTTATCAGAGAACAGGGGCTCTGAGGTAAACTGCCCTCTCATGGACATATGTGGCTCCCTTTTCTATCTCAGTTTATCAACTGTAAGAGTCACTAGGGCAAAGTTTTATCTGTTTTGTTCGTTCAGTGTTTCCAGTGTCTAGAAGAGTGTCTGGCACATGATGGTGTCTGATAAATACAGGTTAAGTGAATGAAAGCTCCCATTCATGTTTCCACTGATTCAAAGAAGAATGAGTGTATATTATGCCCAACCACTAAACTTGGCAGAGATAAGCTTATTGTCAAAATATAGAGGAATTAAAAGACATTCACTATTCTTTAAAAATGTATACTCTGTCTCACACATACATACATACATACGTATGTTAGGTCATTTAATACATAAATATGTTAGGTCATTTAATTACAATTATTTTATAAAAGAGGAAACAGAAAAAAATCTTTCAGTTGGGGACATAAGACAGGAAAGTGATGAGACTGGAACTCCTGACTATCTGACTCTAAAGCCTATACCCCACATCAGTCTCATCACTCTTTTCTAGCTCTAACCATAACTTCAACCACAACCGATCACCTGCAGTTCCTTGAACATGACACATTCTCTCATGCAGTTCTTTGCCTGAGACACACTTAGCTGTGCCCTTGACCTGGCTAGTTCTCCCCTATACTTATTTTATGAAGCTTTTCTGAAATGATGCTCTTTGGTTGAGGTAAGTCTACTTTTCTTTGTGCGTTCACAACCTCATTTGTAGCATTCCATTAGTGAACAGACTGCAGGCATTTTATGCCTGTTTATGTGTACTTCTGTCTACTACACAGAAAGGGAGGCTCATGGGTAGGGACTGTCTTCTCAACAGTGGCTATCTGCTGAGTGCTGCTGTGTCCTTGCTTGCCTATTTTCATTCTCATTACTACCACTTGAGGCAGAGGGGATGCCTATGCCTGTTGTGTAGATAAGGAAAGGGAAGTTTGAGAGATCACGATGATGTTGGGAAAGTAAGTAGCTAAATCGAGAATTGAATGTAAGTTTATCTGATTTCAAAGCCCAAATTCCCTTCTCTTATAATATGCTAGTCTCAGAATCATTTATGATGCTCACAGCTTACCTGTGGAAGTAAGTGAACATCACCTGAACTACAGGACTAGTGAGCTACTACAGGTTTGTACAAAGTCCTTTGCAGGGAACATACAGAAGAGAAGAATTGGTTCTTCTGGGAGGAGGAGAACTGGACAGGCATCATAAATTTCCAAAAATGTTTGGAAATTTCTTAACTGGATCCATAGTGGTGGTTCAAGATGGAAAACAAGATTTCTGTATCAAATACAGGTAGTTTTGGGCCACCACTGCTTCCAAACTGGTCCATCTGAGTTCAAAGAATTTGTTCCAAATGCCTGCTGGTGCCTGCTCAAGTGATGAGTGGTAGCCGCACAACCCAGTCAGCACGCTATTTTGTTAAAATGATATTTTGCGCATGCATGTGCGCCTGCAGGTGTATGTAAGTGTGTGTGAAAACTACTTTAATCATGGTTTTAAACTTATGTAACATCCTTTAAATTTAAGAGAAATTAATGTACTTTCAAGCTATGTCTACATGGAATAGTGTGGTAGCTCCTAATTATGTGCTAGCATCATTTCCTGCTCTTTCCCCTGAACCTCAGGCATTCCCGGAGGCCCCTTTCTCTATATTTTCTCCTTCAGGGAATTAATCTATTTTCTGGCCTGAGTGATTGTAAAATCCTATCAAATTAAGCTTAAAGCTACAAGAAATCGTGGTTTCAGAGTGTGCTGGATAATACCTTCGTCTGCCTCACAGGGCATTTGTGAGGGAAGCACACAGGTGGTGCAAGGGCTCTGGCACCAGGCAATCAAGAAGATGCTAAACTTCTCCCTCGTAGCAGTGCAACCTTCTTAACAGGGTTAAGCAAGTAACTTAACCTCCTTCAGCCTACTTCCTGATCTATAAGAGGGTGTAGCCCAGCCATGGGACCACTGTGAGGATTAGTGAAGTAATGCAAAACTTTGGGTAGTTGCTTTGTTATATGTAAATGCTAGGTGATAATAATGATAATTATTTTTATTGTCGTCATTAGGTTGGACCAAGCAATTTGGGCGACAGTGATATGAAACCTATGAAGCATTAAAAAATGTGAAATATTGTTACTGTGTGCACTGTTGAGGAATAAGGTCCAACACGCATGGTAGAAAGAGCAGAAGATAAGAAATCAGGAAAGTCAGATCCTAATGCAACTCCTCTTATCATCCTGCAGGGTGACCTTGGGCCAGTTGCTCTCTGTGAGCCTGTGGTTTTTATTATTTATTTATTTAATTTTGTCTTTTTTAGACAGGGTCTCACTATGCAGTTCAGGCTGGCCTGGAGCTCACTTTGTAGTCCACAGTGGTCTTGAACTCGAAACCATCCTTCTGTCTCAGTCTCCTGATAGCTGGGATTACAGTCATGTGCCATTGTGTCCAGCTTGAGCCTCTGTTTTGTGTGTATGTGTGTTTTGTGGTGCTGGGGAGACAATTCACAGCTTTGTGCATGGTAAGTGTTTTGGTAAGTACTTTTTTTAATTGTTGAGATATAAAACTGACACCCAAAGTTAAGGGTGGAAAGGCTAATGTGGTACACAATTTGTAGAAGTTTTAACTTATAGTTGGTTGGCTCCAAGGCAGGGTGGCATGGCAGATGGGTGTCACAGAGGAGAAACAGTTCATGGCAGATAGAAGGCAGAGGCAGCAAGCAGCATTCACAGCAACTCTTTCTGTACTTTGTATCTTATCCAGGCTAGTGTGGGTAGCACTCCTCCCAGTCTAGTGCTAGCATTGTACACTGAAACAATTCCAGCCTCACATCCTTGACCTCAGCAGCACACACTCTAGATCCAGTCACCTCCCAAAAACTTTACCTACAACTACATGAGGCTTTGGGGGGACATCTAGATATAAGCCATAACAGTAAGCAATCACAGCCACTGAGTTACATCTTTAGCTAGCCTCTATTTCCTCATAAATCAAGAAGTCTCAGTGGGGATGGTGACACATACTGTACCCCTAGCACTCAGAAGGTTGAATCAGTAGGATACCTGTGAGTTTGAGGCCAGACTTGGCTACATACTGAGTTCCAGACCAGAATAAGCTACATAGGGAGACTCTGTCTCAAAAACAAAACAAACAACCACAACAACAAAAACAAAGCAAAACAAAAAATTTTTAATTATCTGGACGATCCATCCAGGCACAGGAATTCTATGATTCCATGACTGTTGGATCAAGTAACTTACAAAGCAAATCCTACCCAGTTCCTGGAATGCAGTAGAAGCTCAACATGCCCGCCTTAGATCAATGGCTAAAGTATGTCTCTGAAGATGATAAACTTCAACTGCAACAATCTGGAAAGAGCCATCTCAAAGAATGCAATGAAAAGGAAAACTACTATACATCTCAGAGATTTTGGAGGTTTCCACTGTGGCAGAAGATAATGTTTTATACCTATAATGGCAATACTGAACTAGACCAAAAGAAGACCAGATTATGCTCAGTGGCTGTAAGGTTAGGTAAGAAAGCAAGTATAAGAACCATGACAATTTTTTGGATAGTTAAGTTGTACTGGCAGCTTTCCCACACAGCTTGCAGGGCCCCTTGCTTCCTATCTTTCTGGTATTCACTGTGTACCTGTTGTGTGCTGGATATGGTACACACAGAGGCTCCGGAGACAATATGTCTTCTCAAGGAGCCGAGAATCTATCGGGTGACACATTTTTAACAGTGGAGGATGATTGTATACTATACTCAGCATAGTCCTGTACGGTGCTTATATTGTTTATACATTGTTTGCCTATTATCCTGTGAAAACATAGCTGTTTATGTATTAAGCTTTGGCTTGTTTCTCCACCCTCAATCCTCCAGCAGCTTCTGGATGTTAAATATTATCTCTTCATGCTAGTTGTACCAGAAGGAAGAGTCATCTGTTACTCTGCTGCTTCCTTAATGAGCCCTCAAGCTGGTTTATAGGGCAGCTATTGGTCTCCCCTCCCTCCCCCAGAGGATTGATCAGTTCTGATTTAGCTGCTTGATCTTAATGTTCCCCAGCACTCAAACTGTATTCTGTTTTTCCCCTTTCCCACCTAACCTCGAGGTAAAACCAAATAACCGGAAACAATAACCCAAAGTAGTAAGGTGTGGTGGCAGCACTTTGATGGATAGACTAAATATTTCTTTTGCTGCTATAGCAACCGCTATTTAATGCCTTGTCAGTTACCTTTGAGTGGTCTTTGGAAATCTGTTACTTTGCATGTAAGTGCTTAAATCACTTCAAGTGCCTAAAATACTTTCATTTCCTTTCAACATTTTTCTTAAAGGAATTTTTACTGTTTTATTCAGACATTTTCACAAGTATAGAATGCAGTATAGATAGATTTCTCCACACTTGTTCATTTTTATATATCTCAAGATTGGCAATTATATTATAAAAATCATAATAGAAAACTTTTTCATAAAAATAAGCCTTGATGCTTAGAGATACTTATAAACTTTCTGCAAAATTAATACTAGGTAACTGAATACTTATTCAACAATTCATTAGACAAATATCTATTAAATGTCTAAAAGGGTTAGGCATTATGCAAGTACTATAAGCTTAAAGGAAATTAAGAAAATGGCTGCTGCTTTTAAAGAGCTCAGTTAAAAACTGCTTGCTCGCTCATTGTGGCATAAGTTTATAATCCCAGTACTCTCGGTGGGTGAGGCAGAACCTTAAATTGGAGAACTTGGGAAGAGACTTTCTCAAAATAAATTAATAAAAAATAAAGAGAAAAAGAAAGAAAGGGCTGGGATATACCTTAGCACAAAGGCCTTGAGTTCAATCCTATTAAAAAATGAAAAAAAAGTTGTTTGCTTTATCTTTTGCATATTAACACCAAGATAGTAATATATCTAAATATTTTACAAAACACCTTCCATGTGTAACAACTTGGAACAGTTCATCCTGGTGTCATACTTCATTAAATTGAGATTTCTTGTGGTGTCTCTCCCCTTCTGGGGTTGGACCTGAGGACCCTGTGCATGCTCCGCAAGCTCTTTGGCACTGATTTCTGCATGTCCAGCCTTCTGATCTCACTTATGTGCTTAATGATTAATAGTCCTTTCATATCTCATTGGAAACATGGGTTTTGTGTTTTTGCTTTTAAAAAAAAAACTTTTCATTGTCTTGTCATTTTCATTCCCTTTCTCCTGGGGAAAAGAGGGAGGGTAAAATGGCTTTTTAAATTCTCTATTAAAATTACTGTGACCACTGGAGTCTAGCTCAGTGGTACCAGACCTGCCTGGCAAGCACAAGGTCCTGAGTTTGATTCCCAGTACCAAAAATAAATAAATTACAATGACCTCTATTGTGTAATACAAAGTGCTTATTTTTTTCCTTAGGTTTCTCAACCACCAAAGCCTTTTGGCCTTAATCTCAGAAGATCATATCTTTATTTTTGTTGGCCATATTTATTTTATTTCACTCCCAGTCAAGCTGCCAATGCCTTTTCTTTATGGAAAAGTTGACCATGTCAAGAACCATCAAATATCAAATTCAAAGCCATGCAAATAAGTTGGTAGACAGGCTTGGATGGGAGACCTGTACTCTTGAATTAGCGGTCTTTAAAAACATTATGCTGTCTTTAAAAGCTAACTATCCAGTGAGACATTCCTCCCAGAATGACATGTGCCCTTTATATATTCCTAGTACATAAGTACTCGGTCACGGTTGTAACAAGGGTCCACTTAATTTTAAATATTGTACACCTAATGCTGCTATATTTTTGGTTCTTCCAGAGTGTACCTATTGTAGTTAGGAATATGTGGTCATTGAATTGACATTTATTGAGCATTTACTAAGTGCTGGACATAATACAGGCTTTTAGAAAATCATTACATTTCGGCCTGACATTAATGGTAGGTATTCTTTGGATTTGGAATCATTTCTAAGCATTTAACTTTAGTATAAACGATCCTGTGTGTGTGTGTGAACAGCAGTAACAGGATTTGAACTCTGGCACGCTGTTAGGAAGTAGAGATCAAAAGCTTTACCTGTATATTTAGGATTTCCTTTGTCCAGGGAACCTAAGAACTGCTATTTAAATATTGCCAAATGTGGTTTTAAGCCTCCCCTAATTTCTACAGAAATGCCAACTAGGGTTAATCTCGGATAATCTAATCCTTTCATTTGATTTTTGTTTTTCTCTTTCAGGGGTCTTCAGGTCCAGAGGGACGTAAGGTGACAGAGGGCTCAGATGTCTCAGGTCTGGGCCGTTAGAAGCAGGGCGCTTTGCGGGTGCAGTCAGCAGCCCGGGCTGCTGGGGTGGCCTGGTCACGTCCACCAAACCGTCTGCCCTCGGGGCGTGGCCGGCGCTGCAGGGCTCTTCCGGCCACGTTCAGGCTGCGCCCTGTCGCCACTCTCCAAGCGGGACCATGACTGCGCTGGTTTGCGGGCAACGCCTCACTCGGTTTTGGCTCTGCAGGTGCAACTCTTCCCGTGTCCCGGGGTGCCCCAGAGGGCCACCCCGAGTAAATCGTCCTTGTTGCCTTTTCCAGGGGAGCCGGGCAGGGCGCCAGGCGACCCTACCGCGCCGTGCGATGCACCGAGCTGAAGCAGCCCCTGGCCGTTGCAGAGGTGGCTTCCCGCCCTGTCCTGCCTCACGAGGTAGGGGGCGGGCCGGTGGCCGCCGGGACTCCTAGAAACCCTTTTAACCCTCTGGACTTGCAACGCAGGCCGCAGGCTTCTTGCCTCCGCTCCCAGTTCCCGCTAGGGGGAGACCGGCAGAGGACAGCACCTAAATCCTGGCCTAGAAAGTCAAAGCCCTTTCAAGATTTACAAAAGGCCCAGAGGTGCACGGGAGGATTGTTCCTCCAGACACACGCGCAGGCCTCTCCCGAGGCTCCAGAGCTGTTGCCTTAAAAACAGAATTCTGATTTGCACATGACTTTGCAAAACCACTTGCAAGTTATTGATTTAATACAGATAAACAGATTCTGGCCTTTGCTTCGTTCCTCTTTGACCCAAATGTCAAAGTTTTTGCTTTTCTGACTTCCCCCAAGATTGCCCCACACCGTCTGTGTCTCTTTGTGAATGTGTGTCTCAAACCCTACTCGCGTGCCCTGCAGGGATTTGGGGTGAGGATAGTTTGGGGTTCCGCTGAAGTGTGGCAGTCACTTGCCTTGCTTGATTTACAGCTCTGGTGATGAGTGGCGTCTGGTGTGGAGAGTGTGATCCTGCCTCAGGTTAAAGCAGGCAGCGAGCAAGTCGCAGTGTTGATGACCACTTGGAGAGGGGCTGATGCAGACGCAGCCCTGAGATGCTAACGCTGAGCCTGTGGGTCTCCGTGGTGTCCACAGGCTGAGCCCATCCTTGAGTCATTCTTGAATCAGGGTGGAGAGGCTTGAGGACGCATGTGTGCCATGTGTTTGTCGGTAGCTCATGTGTCATACTGCCAGTGTTCAAAGGCTGAGGGCTGGGCTTTTTTTGTTCTGTTATTTGTACAGACATGGTGCTGTAAGGAATTAGCTCATGAGAGCTGCAATTAGCTTTTGAATCCTCATAGTCTGGAATAGTGCCTGGCATGTGGTAGATGCTTCAGAAAAATTAATGAATGGATTTGGTGGATAAAGGTTTCTTACAGATAAGGCCACCTCTGTACTAAATTGAAACAAATACCATTGATCTGGTATCTCAGCCTTCACTTCCTCCTGTGACTGCAGCCCCTGTTGCAATGGTCTTTTTCACAGTAGTTCTCTAGAACGATCAGAGTCACCTGGGCTTGTTAAACAGATTGCTGGACTTTGCTTCCATAGTTGTGATTCAGTTTAGCAGGGGTGGGGCCAGGGAATTAGAATTTCTAACATTTTCTCAGGTGATGCAAATGCTGGGTGGCTCAGGATGGCTCACAGTGTCTAGAGAGACTTCGGGCCATGCCACAAAAGTTCTGCCTCAGTTGTGGCATTGCTATGGTCCAGAAGCTGGGGATCCAGTCTGGACTCCAGAATTTCAGCTCATCATGTTGCCCTTCTGTTTAAAACCCTTAAGTGGTTTTTCTGTTGTCCTAGTTTAAAAGTCAGTGTAGACCTACAAACCGTGGTGTGGTGTGATCTCTCCTTCCTCTTTCTCTCTCTCCTCGTTACGCACCATGGGTTTACTGGTTTTTCTTTTGTCTCTGATACAGGGCATCTGCACAGGCCACTGCTTTTGTCTGTGTAGACCTTTTCTCATTCTTTTTTTTGATGTGGGGGTTCACATCCAAGTTCTGATGCATACTAGGCAAGTGCTCTGCTACTGAGCTGTCCCCCTTCTATTTTGAGTAGTTAACTCTTCACTGTTACTAACTCTAATATTACTTTCTTATTTTTTCTTCCTCAAGAAGGCAAATTCTCCCATTATATGTTTTCTAATCTTTAATAGCTTTCATTGAGTTATAATGTAATACCAATGGGTTCATTATTATTTGGTTAATGTCTGTTGTTTCCGCTATACTTTTAGCTCCGTGAAGACGAAAACAGTCCATTTTGCCTCATGATTCATTTCAGCTCTTAATTCAACACCTGGCATATAGTTGTCATTCATTCAGGAAATTTTTGAATAATTGAATAATGAACTTTGTTTCCAGGATGTGTACATCTCTGTTTTGCTGCTCTGTTTCCTTTGCAGGTGAGAGTTGATGTCCATTTCTGTGGTGTTAATTTTGCTGATATATTGGTCTGCAATGGTCAGTATCAGGAAAAGCCCCACCTGCCCTTCACACCTGGTGAGTATGGGTGGGTAAGTGATGCTTCAAAAAAGATAATTCTGAGACTGTTCGGAACCAGGCTCTTTTTCTCAGAAATAACTCTGTGGGGTTTGTCTGCTATCAGTGAGATTTCTGGTAGATACATCAGTGCCATCATTCATTAGAATCGTTACATATGAGCCCCCAGGGGGCAGTTTCTATGCTTCTCTTGCTCAATATTGTCTCCTGCAGCTTAGCATTGTATGTGGCTCATAGTAGATGCTTAATAAATATTTTAAAAATGAATAATGACCAAATAAGTATTCACATCATTATGCTCACCAGAATTCTGTTCATCAAAGTCATTGATGACCTTAGTCATTTCCTTTTTTCTGAAATTGCCTTTGTTTTTTTTACCACAGGATCTCAGACATCTGTTTGTAGCTAAGATGTCTTAAGCTCACAAGCACAAGCTCAAAGAGACCTAGTGCCAAAGAATCAAAATGAAGAAAAAGCGTTTTTAATTTTTTAGAAATCTAGTGTATGATTTTCATTATGTCCCAGTCTGATTATTTTCACATCATGAATAGTGTATCAGTGACTGATTTTTATTGCTGAAATTTAAAGAAATATAAATATTGCTTGGGTGTTTACAGGTTTATTCAGGTATATATCCTTAAGGATACAGTGATTACAAAATAGTTGCTCTGTTCTGGTCTTGGTTATTGGTTGTATCTTAACAGTTGGAACCATTTTCTTCTGGTTGTATTTGCTGAAATGCTGGGTCAGGGGAAGATGTCATATGTGATTGAGTCATTCCCTGTGTAGCTCAGGAAGGAAATGCATGATCATTAAAGTCAGAAGTTTCAGAGGTAGAAGAAGAAAGAGAAACAACATTAATTCATTCAGTTGAGCCAGGTACTGTCTGAATAAACATTATTCATGTCCTTTAGGACTTCATGGCCTAGCAGGAGGTGTATGAAAACCCGTAAATGCTACATGATAAACCTCATGGTTAGGGTGATGCGAAAGTGCAAAGCACCAGTGTTCAGAGTCAGAAGCTCCAGTGCATCCACGTGTCTCTGTGCTTTTTCATGTTCTCACCATGCTCATGGCGTCAAGGTTAAGAACGGGACTGCCATAGCTTTTCAGGTTGTGATTATGAAATCTCATGCTCACTTTCATGTGCTTTGGGTACAATGCTCTCTTCTGCTGAGGTGAAGAAAGATGATTCTTAAACCTTATTCTTAGGAAGCTGATAGGATGGCCTATTGATCAGAGTTTTCTCATCTCCATAGTTCTGGGCTTTACAGAGAACCTAATCTTTGAATGATGTTTTAGGAATGGAGTTTTCCGGGACCGTACTGGAGACAGGCACAGATGTCAGCACAGTGAAAGAGGTAAATTAGCTGAAATCTAGGCAACGAACATGTGGGTAGTTGTGAGGAATGTGCTAACTTTATTTATACCCAAAAGATCTTGCTTTTCTTGTCCTTTGGCAGAAGACACTGAAGGGAAGCTGAGATGGGATGGAAAGAAACTAATTCTCAATTTGGGGGAGGGGAATCTTGGTGGAGGTTTCTGGCTTCATTAAACTCTTTGTTTAGTTCCTGAGCGGTGAGAGCATGCTCCAGTTGGAGTCTCATGTGAAAGAAGTGAATTCTAATTCCTATCAGCCTTTTCCTTATTCAACTCTATCGCTGTCTGAAGTGTGCTCAGAAGGGCTTGGCAACCTGGTGGCAGGATTGAGAGAATTGCTGTCTTATTTGCTAAACATTAACTCTAGATATTAAAGCAACCAGTGTTTTAGAGGGTCAGAAATGTGCATTTTTTTGCATTCTTTGGTTGATTCTGGAAGTGGTAAATGTACAACCGTGCATTTGAACGTATCTTTAATGCCATTTATTCCTTTAGGGAGATCGAGTTATTGGTGTGCGTCACTTTCATGCTATGGCTGAAGAGTGTATCACTGACCAGAAGGTACCCCCACCCCTCAATATTAATACTTAGTTTTTCTCCTTTGTTTTCTTTAATTTTTACTTTCTCCTCATTTCTTACTCTCTGCTCTCCTCCCTTTCTTTCTATTTGTTTGGTCTTGTTTCTCAGCCAAAGAGATCTTTTTAAAAAACCTTAAACCCTTTCCTTCTCTTTATTGGTGTGACAATCCTTGTACAGAGCTTTGTTTGTATAGACTGCTTTAATGAAGAAGGAATTTTGTTTTTGGAGTGCCTGAGCGATTGGCTGGCTGTCCAGTTGGACCATAGTTAGGTAGTTTTAGTGGAAAAACTGGTTTGGGGTATTGAACTAGAAGTAATAGGGTTGTACTCCACACAAAACCTATGAAAGAGATAGCCCTGGGAGGGGGGCCAGCCGGGGTGGTTTTGTATGTGAGCGGGGATATGAATGGTTCCCCCTAGTGGTAGACCGTACTCAACCCTCCCCAGGTTTCCTAAGGTAAAATTTATATACCATGTAATTCCCGTTACAGTGATCTGTGGCCCGTTCTCCATAAATTGGCTCCTTTATGGGCCAGATGCCAGCCTTAGGGTTTTGAAGTCTGATGCATCCAAGTCCTAAATTCACCCATGGCTTGCTTGGTCTTGACTTTCACTGGGCTTGATTAAAGGCGTATGTTTTAGATTAGTCACCCAATCAAATCGTATTTACTAACCAGCTGTTGCAGCCAGGTACATATGTTCAACTCCTAAGCTACTGGTACTTCTTTCTATAGACTGTGTGGCAGATTCCAGAGAATGTCTCCCTGCAAGAAGCTGCTACCTTACCTGCCACTTATGGCACTGCTATTTTGGCTCTGGAGCATGGGGCCCGTACCCAGCCTGGGTAAGGACATGCAGATAACAGAAGACTGGGGCATGCCTTTCCCTGATATTAGATGTGCCCAACAAGATCTTTCCCTATACTCTCCTATTTTCTTTCCCTTTAGCTCTTACTTATTTTGTATGAGGAAAAGACAAAGACAGGTAATCACTTGAGATTGGGGTCTGGTGACCATGGAGGGTCTCCTCTTGTCTGAGGTGGGATGGCAAACTGTGAAGTTAGCCAATATAAATTTGGAAAAATAGCTCTCTCAAACCTGGCTACCCTGAAGATCACTTCATGGAAAACCTTAAAATTACAGAATTGGCTTATAAATGAACTTAGTGGAGGCCTGTGGTATTTGTCTCTGTGAGGCTTGGACTATGTGCTCAGTAGGGTGTTTCAAACTCAAAGGTGCTGAGATTTCTTCCTACCTTATCTGGGAAACCACCTCTTGATCTTTTTAGAGAGCCAGTCTCAGAGTTGATCCCAGTTGGTGGGTTTAGTTCAGCTGTGGCCATTATAGACCATCACCTTTTAAATTTATGCAGTGTTTATTTTGAGAATGACTTTAGACAGTTCCTGAAGCGTAAATCACAAGTGGTTGCTCAAGGGAGAGGTTGCCATTGAGAGAAAGTAGCATCTATGTAGAGAGATAAAGGAATCTTTTTCTCAGGAAGGCTTCAAAACTGGACCAAATTAGCACCAATCTACAAGTTACATATGTAAACCTGGCCCCCCAGGATAGAAGACAGATGTACGTGAAGGTTTGAATGCAAAGATCTCTGACATTGTTGTTTTAAAATGTTCTGGTTCTACAGAGTTGCTGAAATCATAGTACAGGGTGAGCTTTGAAGGTTTCTGTAGTAACATTCATCTTTCTCCGGCACAGAGAAACTGTCTTAGTGACGGCAGCAGCTGGAGCCACAGGCCTTGCAGTGATAGATGTGGCAACAAATGTTCTTCAGGCCAAGGTATTTGTATGTTAGAGTCCCTATTAAAAATGCTTTCATTTTCAGATACAGAATATATTCACTCACTTATTAAAAGTTGTACGCAGGGCACTGGGGACATAAAGTAAGTTCAAGCAAGGTCTTGCCATCTGCTTGCTTCTGGACAAGTGAGGAGACCTAGCTGTACCTCACTTGTCCTTTTAGTTGCTAGAACCTGGCAAGGGCTGCCTCGCTCCATGGCTATAGCAGATGCTGTTTTCTCTACCTGTCATGCTGTGAAGTATCTCCCCCCTGTGATTCAGACTTAAACTCATACAGCATTTTCCTGTCCTCAGACTAGGACAGTCTCCTCTCCCCACCATTTATATATGGTCTATAAATGCTCTGTGCTTCTCTTCCTTTGTACACACCTCTCTGCGTGGTTGCTCTTTTACTTTTGTCATTATTAGATTGATGTCTCCCTCCTGTGGCACTGTGACCCTATGAATGTAGGGGAAATGTCTGTGCTGTGTAGCTCGAGTGCCTGGAACACTGTGGGCACATGAACTAATGAATGAATAAGTGAAAGAATGAATCAAGTCATTTTCTGAGGCTATGGGTGTCAGAGAGGACTTCTTGGAGAAGAGAGACATATCAGATGACTTCTGAAGGCCAGGTAGCAATTAAATAGAAGACAAAGAGACGGGAAGGCCATTTCAGATGGAAAGGCATGTTAGAGGAACAAGAAATAGAAACTGGCACTGTGGATTCAAGAGCTTGCTAGTAGCATCTCTGGAATGAAAGACTAGTGGGGAGAATGGTGGAGGGTGACCCTAGATAGGTGAGCAGAGATAAGATGACAAGGGGACTTGTGTGGAGCTGAAAAATTTGAACATTTATTGGAGACTGTTGGGAGCTATTGAGAAATTTAAGTAGGGAGGTAGCATGATCCCCTTGGCATTTTGGAAAGTTCACTCTGATGGCCGTGGGGGTCAGGGACAAAGTCAGAAGCAATAGAGGCAGTAAGTAGGACAGGCTCTTGGGACAGCGCCTGTTGAGGTTATGATACCTGAATGAAGCCACTGGGGTTCAAGAACAGAGAGATTCCAAAGTAGAAATTAGTGATGGAGAGCATCCTACTACTCAAAGGAACGAGATTTAAAAGTTAGCCTGATATTGGTTCATATTCCACCTCTGTCTCCAATTTTTAGTATCAGTTTCTTCATTTGTAAAATAATGATTCCTTCATGGAGTTGAGTTATGGGAATATTGAGATTATGCATGTAACGTGAGCATTAGAGAGTGTAGTGTGTCACAAGAATCTCTTAAACATCAATCGTGTTATTATTAGATGTTGAGTGGGAAAAAGCAAACTAGGTTAGCTTATGGCTTTTCCATTTATTGACACTCAGAACACAGGAGGGAATGGTGAGTTCAGTTTTGGACACTGAATATGAGGTTGCCATGGAGCATATGATTGGGATGTTGAGGTATCTAGATATACAGGTTCTGAGATAGTGGATTGGCCTGGAGTTTCCTTAGGTAGTTTCTCCTGTTGGGCTCTTCTTGGAAAGGGCATGAGAATTCTAAGAGCAGTCATAGATACCGGAGAGCTCCTCATGGAATACTAACACATTTCATGTTAAAGGAAGAGCTTTGAGCTTCTTTTGAGGGAGAGACCATAATTGGCTTCATTGTTTAGAGCCATTCTAATATTTCTAGAAAGATAAAATGGTATGATTTGCTTCAAATAGTTCTAAGAAATAGAAAGGAAACTCTTTCTTCAATTCAGATACTAAGTTAATCTCACCTGTTTTCTTTTTCTGAAAAAATGATTTTAAATAAAAGTAAGCAAACATAAAGTAAATGTTACCGTGTCACTTGCTCAGAATAGGTCATTTTGATAACGCTTTCTATCTGCAGCATTTCCTACTGCTTCCAAAGTGGCACCACAGCAATTATCTTACCCTGGGTCCTCCCAAAACCCGTTGGGAGAAAGGTAGTGTTATTTATGATCCGTATTTCACAGATCAAAAAAGTGAGGCACCAAAAGAGAAAATGACACAGTGCAGGTCTCACCCAGGTCTTGGGGAGACTCTTGGTGTCTTGGTGTCTGACTCTAGACCAGTGTCTGTTCACTGAGGCCCTGTGTGCAAATAGCTGTTGGTGAACTGTGCTATTTTGAGAGTTTCAGCAGGGAGCATTTGAGAGTAGCTTTTAGTTTCAAACAGTTAAGGGTGAGTTTGGAATCCTTTAAGGACTCTGACATTCCTGATGTGTTTGAGTGCAAGTTCTGAGCTTTGTCTTGGTGTTAATCACCGATGAAGCACCTCTAGGTGATGCTTGAGTGCTTGCAGCTTTGGTGGAAACTTCTAAATCCCAGACTTCCCTGTAGGTGGCCTTCGGCCATGTATGTTGGGCCTTAGGTGCAGGCCTTAGGATGATGGAATTAGAAAAGCATGGGCTTTGAGTAAGGCAGCACTGGGTTTGAATAGTTGTTCTACCACCTACTACTGGATGACTGTAGCTTGATTGCTTAACCTCGAGTCTGTTTCTGCCTATAGAATGGGATAATTATACCTCCACCATAATGTTCTTCCGAGGTTAAAATGGAATAAACGTTTGTACGTGGGTAACAATAGATTCAATTTATTTTTGTTTTCCAAGCACTTTATGCACAGTGTTCTTGTTAGTTTTTAAAAATAAGTCCTATTTTACTGATGATATAATTGAGACTAGGAGAAGCCAACAGGCAGTAGAGAGCTTAAATGCTTGGACTCTGGAGTTGGATTGCCTGGGTTTGGGTCTCAGCTCTACCTTCTGTTAGCTTTGTAACCTTTTCATTGCACAAGTTGCTTAACTTTTGCCTCAGTTTGTTCTTCTTTAACAGGGAATGATAATAATGTGTATTTTATTGGGCTATTATGATTTAATGAGTTATTAACATATATAAAACATTTAGAAGAGTGCTTGGCAAATAGTAAAATAATATGTTGGTACATTATTGCCTTGTAAAAGAAGTAAAATAATTATAAGTAATTTATCTAAGGTAACTCAGTTAGTAAGTGGCCGAGCCAGTGTTTGATACTCTCAGTTCTTTTTTTTTTTTTTTGTATTTATTTGGTACCGGAAGTTGAACTCACAACCTCATGCTTGCCAGGCAGGTGCTTGCGCTGCTGAGCTGAATCCCCACCCCAGAGCTGGCATTTGAAAGGTTTATTTAACTTCAAAACTTTCCCACTGAATTATGTTTTACCCTCTGGGAAGCCTTTCCTGATCTTAACGGATTTAGACTGGTTGTCGGTCTCATCTGGACTTTGGGGCCCTCTGTCTTTCTCCCTTTGCACTGCTGTGTCTTGTTTCTTTGTGTCTACACTTGATGTCCAGCTTGCACCCTTACTACTTGGCTCAAGGTGAGTGCTCAGTAAATGGTACTTTTGCACTGTCTCTTGAGCTACCTCCTTGCTAGACCAGCTAGAGTTCCAGAATTTCTACAGATATGAATCTTACAGTTAGTAGGGTGTGGAGGGACCAGTGGGATAGCCTGTGAGTTGAGCCTGCTATGTGAGCTGGAGGCTGATGCTTGGGCCACACACTCCTACTGGATTCCTCGAGTAGCAGTTTGGCTGGAGGCTGGATAGGTGGGGTGACCCCCTTTGGGGATCTGTCCTAGACCTTAAGAAACCTTGTGTTCTTTATTCAGGTAATAGCTGCCGCTGGAAGTGATGAGAAGTGCAAGCTGGCGATGCAGAGGGGCGCACAGTTTAGTGTGAACTATAGTCGGGGCAGCCTGAAGGAGGCAGTGAAGCAGCTGGTGGGCAGTGATGGGGTGAACGTGGTCATCGACATGGTGGGAGGAGACATCTGCCTGGAGGCTCTCCGCAGGTGTGTGCAGCAGGCTGTCCGTGGTGGGCTAGCGCTGGGGCTCTGCCCAACCTTTCTGCACCTCTGTCTTCCTCCAGGCCTTGCTTTTCTCTCATCTTTGCTGTTCACTTCTCCTGTCAGCATCAGCACCAACGAGAATAGCTGAGTGGGTGTGTGATAAGGAATAGAAGCGGAGAAAAATCAGGAAATGCTTAAATATAGGAAAAACAAAATATCCAACTGGAAAATACCCAAAAAATGACTGCAGACTCTAGTTGGCAATAGCAAGTACTTTAGAAATGATACATGTGTTAAATTCAGCTCTGCCAGCCTCCACCCACTTCCTTATATACATGCTTGTGGGGGATTCTTGAGATCATTGTTCAGGTGTTACAGTTACTGGGGTGGCAGTTCCTCTTTCCCCAGTTCACTGCACCAAGGTACAGGCACTTCTGATTTTACTGGTTTCTGAAGCATCCAATAGTGTATTTCCATGACTTGCTTTATTAAAATTATATCACTGGAGATTTAGTGGGATTGTTGTGTCCTATCAGTTCTCTCCTTGTGTTTTCAACCAGGGATTCTGGAGGACTCTGAGAGTATTGGTTTCATTTCTCATGTTATCCTGGCAGGCATCATTTTATGATGTATCTTAGTTTAAAGCAGAAGAAACAGGCAGAGAGAGCTGTGTACCAACAGAAGGAAGAAGGTGATTCTGTAGCCCCTGATCTCGGAGGCAGGCCGGTGCCATGGTTGCTCATCACCTCGCAGTGCCCAGCACCGTGCTTAGAGGAGCACAGGAAAGGGTGTCCAGACCCTTTTTGCCTTCTGGATCAATTGTGTTTTGACAATAGAATCTGCTTCCCTTAGGAAGAAGAAAGGCAACAAACAAACCAAAGCCCAAACATTTTGTATTTATTGCAGAGATGTTTATAAAAGTTGTTTTTATAACTCATTATGTAGCATGTACTATGTGGTACTTCCATAATGGACTATAGAACATTTGTATATTTTTGTATATTATTCATAATTCCCTAATGAAGTGTCAGAAGTTAAAGGAGTCCTAAAGTAAGTCTGTGAAAAGCAATGATTCTTCATTCCAGGGTCTGTCTTCTTATTTCTGCTGCCTAAGTTCAAAACCTTCAAATTCAGTTGTCTGGCTTTAAAAAATCATGTACCTGTTTATATCCAATATCCAGTGACACTTGTTTATAATACAATTTTCTTCCATGAGGTCCTTGATTCTAAAGTGAATTCTCTTATAAACCTGGCTGGTTTTCTGTTGTCCTAATACTTTGCTCATGGCTTATTTTAAAATGTTTCTCCCGAGGAACCCAATGTAGTAAAGGATGGTCCACTTCTCCCAGTCTTCAGGTCAATAGGAGTTCCCAGCTGTGCGTTTAGTATATGTTGCTAAGTGTATATTCCAGCCTGTGGTAATCTCTCTTCTTTCCACCTCTATGAATTAATGTAGAGTGCTTTTTAAAAATGTTTCCTTTTTATTGTAGTTAAAAGCATATAAACTAAAATTTACCCCTGCAACCTCTTTTATGTGTGTAATTGAGTATGGTAAGTAGATTCACATTGTTGTGGAATGAATCTTTGGAACTTTTCATCTGGCAAATCTGAAACCATGTATCCATTCAAAAGTAACTCCTTCCCCTTCCAGTTCCTGTAGTCCCTAGGAGGTACCATTCTGCTTTGTTTCTCTAAATTGATTACTTTAAATACTGCATGTAAATGATATCATATTTTTCTTTTGGTATCTGGATTCTTTTGCTTAGCATGATGTCCTAAAGGATATCCATGTTCTAGCATGTAACATGATTATTTTTTCTCTTGTTAAGGCTGGATAGTATTCCATTGTATGGTTCTGTTCTTTCGTTGAGGTTCACCTGGCTTGTTTCTCCCTTTTGGCTATTTTCACTAATGCTGTTATGAATATAAACACTAAAATTTGGAGGAACTTTCATACTATTTTCCATCAGCAACAAGTTGCACCAATGGTGTTTCTTAAGTCCTCTTCTGAATTTGGTATTTTCTGCTTTTATTGATAGTAGCCATCCTGATGGGTCTGAGTGTCCACTGCGTCTTATAATTTTGTTTTCTTCTTGCCCTTCAGCCTGGCATGGGAGGGCAGGATTGTGGTGTTGGGATTTTCTGGAGGAAACATTGCTTCTGTGCCTGCCAACCTGCTGCTACTGAAGAACATCTCTGCCGTGGGCCTGTACTGGAGTCGATACCAGCTCCAGAACTTCTCTCTCTTCTCCAAGATCCTGCGTTCAGCACTTCAGTACTGCCATCAGGGCTGCATCCAGCCATATGTTGGAAAGGTGTTTAAACTGGAGGAGATAAGATTAGTTTAAGAAATGTGGTAAAGTAAAGCCAGGAAATAATCTGTGCCCAACCACCCATTCATTTATTCCTAGATGTACCATAATTCCTCTTTTGTGGACTGAAAATGGAGCACTCCACAGGGCAGCCTCACAGGTCCAGATTCTTGTGGGCTGTCTGGCTATCGATGGGGGCCTGGTGGGAAACTCAGTTTTGAGGTGTCTCACTGTATCACTAGTATCTCAAGAGGAAAATTATGGGACTTTAGAAAATAATTTACATGTGTTGATATGAACCTTGGACTCTGCAACATTCAAGCCTAAGAAGGAAATGCTTGACTTGACCTTTGATTTTCAAATATAGACACTTTGAAGTAGAACCAGATGATCTAAGCTGGAGTTCTGTGAGCAGAATGCTAAATTATGCCGGCATCATGAGACTATAATTCATCCATTAGTCACTGTAGTTAATTTTGTTGGCCATTCAGTCCCTTTTTTCATTCTTGCTCAGTCTCATTAATGTGGCTTAAACTTCCCCGAAGTGTAATTGTGTGCATGCATATGCAATATAGCTGTAAATGTGGGCTTTCAAGCATTCACTGTGAGTGCTTTATTATTATTTTTGGCTTAATTTCTTTTAATGTTCAGAAGACCGTTTTGGTAGCTGTAGTCAGCCATAGATGAGGCAGTGTTTTGTTCACATGCAGATTAGTGGAGCTCAAGCTGTCTGTGCCAGACTTGAGTGCTTACCAACCTTCCATTTTTATGTTTTTATTTCCTGTGATGAGGCACAATCTTTTCAAACACAGTATATTTCCTTCTTTATCTTTTTTGTCTGTGTAAGTCAGGAAGATAATGTGCCTGCTGAAAAGAACAAGATTTGCCATTTGAACACTGGTTAGCTTCTAGTTCCAATTTTGCCTCTTTTGCCCCCTAGTTTTGTGGATGTCCCCTTACTCCTCTAACCTTCAGTTTCCACCACTTAGAACTAAAGGGTAGGACTTTTTGGTGGCTTTTGGAGTATGCTTTAGGAGCCACAATGAGGACGTGGGGGTGGGCAGGTATAGACTGGTGCTGCCTGGGTTGGGCTTTGGGACTTCCTCAGCCCTGAGGAGCTATATATGTTCACATTTCCCTTTTAAGAAAAGATTTGTGGCTTTAAATACTATACCTGCAAGCCACCTCTTAATTTCTAAGACCATCCTGTCCTGTGGCTTCAATCCTTATGTGATTTCTAAGGTGAGGTTTACTTTACCTGAGGCTCTAACTGCTGGTAGAGAAAAAGGGCTGCGAGCTAATACAGGAGAGGTGACTGTTACTTTGACCTGTCCTTTCTCTGTACTGATATGTTTTTGGTGCTGCCCAGGCATTGCCTGAGTTACTTTCTGCTGCTGAGACACAATACCTGATGCCCATGGCATGAAGGAGGAAAGGTTTATTTTTTATTTTATAATTTGTAAAGGTTTCAGTCTGTAGTTGGCTGGCTTTAAGGCAGAGGGACATGGTCGAGGAGGATTGCATATAACATGGTAGGGGAAAAGCAGAGAGAGGGGGGGAGAGGGAGAAGGAAGACGGAGGGGGAACAAAGGAGAGGGAGCAAAGGAGGAGGAGGGACACAGACCCTGCCATGCTATGCCCCAGTGACCCTCCTCCTCAGACCAGCCTTCTCTCCCAGCATCAGAAATTGCTATAAACTCATCAATGGACGAATCCACTTATGGGTATCACATCCCCACGATCCACTCATCTCCGAAGGGCCCCACCTATGTGTGCATGAGGTCTTTGGGGGACATCTAGATAGAAACCATAACAGGCATAAAAAAATGCCTGAGTGCGATGATTGTTTTAGTGTCCACATAGAAGTCTTTGTCCTATAAACATGAACTAATTATAATTACTAACTTCCTGTCAGCTCCCATTCGCATATGGGATTTTTATCCTTCTCCCACTGTGCTGGCTTTGGTGTTATCAGGTGGCTTTTGGAGCCAAGCTCCTTATCCGTTTCAAGCATCTCTTTTGTACACCATCCATTTACTATCTTCTCTTTCTATTTCTTTCACTGTGCAAACTATTTAAAGGAATAACAATATGCTAAGCACTTTACATACATTATCTCATTTAACCGTAAGGAAACTCTGAGTTATAAAGCATTTTTGTGAGATTTTACAGATGAAGGAATCAGACTTATACAAGCTGCTTAATGCTATGTAGTAAGTGTCCAAGCTGGCATCCAGGCCTGATGCCATAATCTAGTTTGTCCTGGCTCTGTTAAACTCTCTTCTCAAACAAACCAAGAAGTCACTTCTTATAAACCTCATGATAGCATATGTGGTTTATCCATCTATCACAGAATTATCTATGTGAAGGAGCTATCTTGAAATTAAAATGACATATTCTGTTTTTGTGAGGAGTACCAGAATTCATATATTTTGCTCTTTTAAAATGAATGTGGCTGACTGAATGTATAATTAATTTCTTTGAACTGTAAAACCTAGGTAATATGTTTTAAGTATACTGGTTAATGTGCCAGAAAGCTTATTTATCAGACCAGTCTGTGCTTGGAAAATAACCAGTGACATAAAATATTTATAGTGTCAGAAACACTGGTTCTGGCAGGCACATGCATATCTGTTGCATGATTAAGATTAGAGGACTCAGAGGTCAGACCATCAGGGTTTAGATGCTGGC